TCACATTCTACCAGGCAGAGGAAAATATTTTATCCCCCTTTGTACGTAAACGAAGAAGACTTTAGGATCTACATCTGTAATAATCTGTAATAACTGTTGGAGCATTGACTCGTCATCTTCCCATATTTAAATCGCATACCAGGATTGGTGTTCTCGAGAGTATAAGTCGATGACTGGCTCTTAGCTGCTTAATGACTTTCGCAAGCTAGAAGGAAAAAAATCAAAATAAAAAAATTGGAGGGAAAGCCGCCCATTATGACCAGTGTCGACATCAATGACAATGCATTACATAGAGCTTGTTTATGATTCCGTCCTAACTGCTGAAAGGGGCCGATACTCCGATTCGTCGAAATTTGTTTTTATGTCTGAATAGTAATCCCCGACTTGATTTGAGGGCTTTTCAATTGAGCGTCGTAAATCTAAAACCAAAGCAAGAAGAACTGCCAATCAGAATCAAAGAAACTATCGCAAAGAGGAGCCAATGAGTGCTCGAGGCAAAAACAAGTAAAGTGCCCGAAGAGCGGGAAAACGCAAGTCACCAGCTTAAGATTGGTGTTAGTTTTGCATCTGATTGGTTAAGATGATGGCGCGAGTGATCTTGACCAATCACAGAGCGAAGTAAAGCAAAACCAAAAGTAATCTCGAATGTCTTTCGACTCTCAATTGAAAATTGCTCTGTAGCTCGACCATCATCACTTATTTGCTAAACCTCTGTGAGGTTAATTTACATAAGTATCACCCCTTGTAAATTCTTGGAATAGGAATAGGAGGTTAGTTGTCCTTACAAAAGGCCATACGAATTGTTTAGTCAAGAATTTTTTGGGACTCACGAAGAATTCCTTAGATCCAAGAAATGGCGGGTTAGAAGGTTGATACATTTACGACCTGTGTACTTCACCACAGTTCTCTAATAACAACCGATTCACCATCGCGGAAGTCGGAAATGATCGTCCTAGCGGGGAATGTCATAAACCTGAATTCCTTAAATTCGCTTATTGAAAGGTTTTCAGGCTGTTAAGAAGGGTGACATGAAATCAGCTCTGAAACATGAATGATGTCATGGTTATAGTTTCTTCCTTATAACTCATTAAGTTTTTTTTGTCCAAAGTGTTCAAATCAAAAAGAGAAATCATGAAGCAAGTTAATATTCATCAACTAAAGGGTTGGATGGGGTTGAAAATACGAAGTAAGGATTGGGAAAACACATATGTTTATTATTATAATTCTTATTATTACTATTATTATTATCATTATTAGTAGTGGTGGTAGTCGTAGTAATAGTATTAAACGACTTTGAATATATGAAAGTCATATGTTTGAACTGCAGATAAAGACGTGAATATGAAAGCGATCTTCGCAGTAACGAACACTACTTGAGCAGTGGTGAAATAAACAAGGTCTGAAAAAAATTCAGGCCTGTACGTGATTTGAACCCATGACCTCTGCGATACCGGTGCAGCGCTCTACCAACTGAGCTAACAAGCCAACTGGGAGCTGGTCATTATGTTGGTTCGAAATAAACCCGTGAAGTGGTGAATAAACGTTAGTGAATATATGAAAGTCATATATTTGAAATGCGAGGTGTGAATATGAAAGCGATCTTCGCAGTAATGCACACTACTTGAGCAGTAGTAAAAATAAGGCCTAAAAAAATTTAGGCCTGTACGGGGCCGGATTTGAACCCATGACCTCTACGATACCGGTTCAAGTCCCGTACAGGCCTGAATTTTTTTCAGGCTTTAATTTCACTTCTGCTCAAGTAGTGTTCATCACTGCGAAGATCGTTCTCATATTCATAGTAGTAGTAGTAGTAGTAAAACTATTAAAATTATTCCTTGTCTGGACAGCCGTTGTCGTTGACTGCATTGATTTGTTCATTTAGGCTGTACCATTTCCGTTAAAACTTGTCCATTCGTGTTTCGTGTTTCAATTAAGTCAGGTCAACCAGGGTTAACAGACAGTCTCTTCATACCCTTCGCATCAGGTGGATAGCGCAGTAAGTTTTGTTAATACTTATCCGTTGGATAGCGTCATCCGTTCGTTGAACAGTTGGGCTCTGATCAACTTACAATAAATGGACGATGATCGTGTAATATTCTATTCAATAGCGTGTTATACAAAAACTGTGGAAATTCTCGCGCGCTCATTGATCTAAGGCCATTTTCATTATTAGATCACAGATGACGTCATAACATGTGAGACCAAAACAGGGCAGAGGCGTGGCCGAAGCTTCTCTGAAAATAACAATTTTTAGATCTGAATGGCTTTTATTCAAGTTCAAAAGTAAATGTTATTGAACCACCGGCGGGATGGCTTTTATTCAAGTTCAAAAGTAAAGGTTATTGAACCACCGGTGGCTCAAGCTCACGTCTCGAGAAAAAGCGTCACGCGTTGCGTGACTCGGTGTTAAGTTATGGAGGAACAGTTGGGAATTTAAACACGTTATGGGAAGCGAAATATTCCTTCATATTTTGAAATATGAACATTCTACACGTAAAATCAATAGAAGTTAGTAAAATTTCCGCACAGCCCCATCTTACATTATGCTTTCAGTTCCTGAATAGAGGAAACAATGACAAAGTAGTTTCTGGCGATTTCTTCCGTTTTTGCTCGTTTTACCATCGCTGTTATCCTGTTATAAGACGAAGATGTCATACAATAAAACCACTGCTCCCATATTCTTCAGCTCATTCCTCAGCTTGTGGCCAAAATATCTTCTTCCTCCCGTCACAATAATCTTTCTTCCTTAGAACACACCAATACCCTCTCACTGATTTACTCTCCAAAGATTTGCGTTCCCGCTCTGACAAACGAGCCTGCAATCAACCAGCTGCAACATAGCTTGGCTACGGGCTACAAAAGCAGATGTGTGGTGTAATAGTCATATCTTATAACCTAATAAGGGGTTCTTCCTTCCAATGCTGTTTAACAAATAGAGAAGCCTTGACTGTGCTTTGTTCTGTTATAAAGCACGCAGGAAGCGGCTAGAGCACGAAAGAAGTGTAGGGAGAAACACGAGACGTAGTCGAGTGTTTCTTCCCACTTCTTGAGTTTTATAATAAAGAATCCGTTAAATTCCCCATGTATTACTTTCAATTTTCAAAACAAACTTTATTTCCAAAGCGAAGAACAGTGTCGTTAGCATGCTCTATACTCTCATAGAGCACGCTACAATAAGCTAATCAGAATCCCTGTTAGAATGGTTCAAATAATCTGATTGGCTGTACAAGACAAAAGCTGTCAAAAGTGTCAAACCATCAAAGTTCAAAAACCATCAAAGTTCACACTCTGCGATAGTTTACAAACTAAAATAATTCGGCAGGTCGAATTTAACGCTTTTGCCTGAAGTTTTTAATTCAGAATCTTGAAGTGAAATGTTCAGTGAACTTCAGCCGAATTATGGCTCATAAAAACACGCGAGTTTTTTAACATGACAAGGTAGAAAACAAACTGTTCAAGGCGAGTGTTTTTTAAATGAACGACAGCCGAATTCAGCGGAACATGAAGATCGCTCGGGATGACAGCGCCGCAAAACTCGGCTGCAGTGACTGAAGTGACTTTCCACTCAACACATTGGAAAGGATATCGGAGCGAGCTCTTATTTTTTCACTCGAAGAGCGGCATGATAAGTGAGCCGCGATGGACTTCAGCATGATCATATTTGCTCAGACACCGTCATGATTAGTATGAATTTTAACAATTATGCCAGTTTGGTTATATTTTTCATCATTTCTGTTTTGTTCTGTTCTGTTTTTGAACTCTGAACTTTATATACTATACGAGTGTTGGCTGTGTTTGATTTTCATTACCGTACGTAAGCCTGCAATCTAACTGAGCGTGAAAATCTTTAAAACTCGGAATGTCTATTTTGTTTTTCCTTTGAGGATTTTCGTATCTGCCCACGTTTTAATAACATAAATAACGGCGCCTGGTATGTTTACAAACCTTTCTTTGGTTCTTCTGTTACTACTTGCCGGCTCGCTTGTTCCGAAATTTCACTTTCAATTATCGGAAAAAAGCTGAAAAGAAGTCCCGGAAAAGGTCGAACATGGTACAATTTGGCAGATGGCGTGACAGCTTTAGCTCAGTTCTATGCTCTATACTCTCATAGAGCACGCTCTTTCAACCAATGACAGCGCGCGTTATATCCGAACTTTATTATAACACATGATAGTAAATGAACCAATTGAAACAATTTATCAAACCGAAAGTGATGAACGAATGCGGAAATCGACGTGAAATACCACTAATACTAGTGTTTGGCAAGGTGTTTCACCAGTTTATTTTTATATAAGTAATAGTTTCAGCTCCTATGAAGTGATTTCAGATCATCAGCGAACTGTAGCTCCAGAGTGTCACTGAAGGGAACAGATACAGGACCTTCACTTACAGTAATATACCAACGAAGTCTTGGTAATCCAACTCTTGTTAACTTCTGATGCGTGATACCTAGAATTTTTACTGAAATGAACAATTTTGGTAAATACCTGAGAGCAGCTTATCACCTCAATTTTCAAACGCATTTTCTAAGACGAATTAACAGTAGACTGAATCATAAATACAAATCGTGTAACATTGCCTTGATCTTTAAGGGTATACTAGGGTCTTCACAGATGTCCCTCGCCAAAAATGTTGTAGTAAGGCAGATGCACTTTGTAGTCTGACCAAATTTAGGAGTGCCTATTTATTCCAGATTTCATGACAAAAATCTGGTGCTTACATATTGATAAATAGTAATAATGACAGAACCATATGATAGCTTTAAATAATTATTTACAGGAATCGCATGCACAATTATTTGTTCAAACCCTGCATGTAGTCGCAAAACAATTCGCCAAATTTAAAGCATTTTTACAATAACCTCTTTTTAGCACTGAAGTACACGTACGTCTCCTCTGCATTGTTAGCTGAAAAGTTCAGTTCTTTTTGCTAATCAGAAGGAAGAATTTTTTTCATGGCTATATTTCGTCCATTAAATTTCACTTGATCAAAAAGGAAATATGATTACTCAGCTGTTCCATGATATGCCAGCAACAGTAATTTCAAGTTGTCATTTAATACCGTATTTGACAGTTAGTAATTGAAGACGTTTTAGTGAATAAGTAATGAAAGTAATTCCTGTTTTTTTTCATTTTTATTTTAGCAACTTCCTGTTCAACATTTAAGGTTCCTGTGATGTCAAGACAATTAAAGGTAGCATATCAAACAACTGCTTTTGAAAATCACAGCTGCAACCAAGTTGTTTACTTGTACTTTGGTGTTATTTCATTTTAAGTAAACTTCACTTTTATCAGTGCTTCCCTGCCAACTCTCTCACTTCAGGAAGAAATTACTTGCCTGCAGATACAAAACTTTATGATTATATAATACTGGTATTTACCAAGTAGGAGATTGATATGGAAAAAAATTTATGAGAGAGTAAAATAATTTATAAAATGAATTTTTATTATTTCTATAACTTTAATTGAATTTCCTAAATTACAAAAATCTTATATTTACAGAACAACACTGAGGAAAGGAAACTGAGAGTAACCCTTCTGAGTACTGAATGGAAAACATCAAGCAATGGAGACTTGACAACCATCAACAGAGAGCTGGCAATACAGATGGCTAAACATCCCAATGCGGAAGTCAGTGTCTTCTTACCTAAGTGTAGTGAAGAGGACAAGAGAGATGCTGATAGTTACAATGTTAAACTCATTGAAGCAGTTAAACTGTCTGGTTTTGAACCAGATCTTTGGCTAGCCTCTGTACCTGATGGCCATGCTATGGATTGTATTCTAGGGCATGGAGTAGCTCTTGGTCGGCTAATTCCACTCATAAAGAAAAATCCAAATTACAGTCATTGCAAATGGATTCAAGTTGTCCATACTGCTCCTGAAGAAATTGGCATGTACAAAAACATTTCTCAAGGTCAACAAATGCAGCAAACAGAGATAGAACTATGTGAAATGGCTGATCAAGTTGTAACAATTGGCCCCAAGCTAACTGATGCATATAAACACCAACTCCAAAAAAAGGATGTTTTTAACCTGACACCAAGTATTTTCACTGAATTTTCAGATGTGCAGCAAGCTAGCGATGAAAGAAAAACATTTTGTGTCCTGGTAATTGAGAGTGGTGATAGTGAAGATTTTGATGTCAAAGGATACAGCATTGCAGTGAAAGCTATTGCTAACCTAAAGGATAAATCTTACCAACTCAAGTTTGCCTCCAAACAGAGAGGAAAGGAAGATGAATTAAAACACAAGTTACTTCAGTGTGGTATTGATCTTAATCAGTTAATGATCTGCAGCTTTGATGAAAACAGGGAAACATTAGCCAACTTATTCTCTGTGGTGGATATTGCTATATTGCCCTCAAAAACTGAGGGATTCGGGTTAAGCACTCTTGAAGCCATATCCGCTGGTCTTCCAGTACTTGTCAGTGGTAACTCAGGAATTGCAGAAGCCTTAAGGAAGGTGCCTAATGGGTCACAGTGTATAGTGGATTCAGAGGATCCTGCAGAATGGGCCAGAGCAATCAAGACTGTGCGCTATAAAGAAAGGAATGTACGACTTGCAGAGGCTAAGTTTCTTCGTGATAACTATTTGCAGCGGTTCAGCTGGAAGGAGCCTTGTGGTTTCCTTGTTAACAAGATGTGCAATCTTGCATTTGGTAAGTTTTCTCACCTTGCATAAGGAATGCAGAAGTTTTAATCAAATTTGAAATTATGACAAAGGTAGCATGTTCTGTGTTAAATATTCAATTTACAGGTAAGCAGTTGTTTCTAACTGCTATAGGGCAGTAGTCTTATGGAATGTTACAAGTTTACATTTATGAAGACTGGCAATCCAAGGCTATAAGTTGATGGTAATGGCCATTCTTGTTAAGGCCATTCTATTTTAGAACTGCTTAATTAAGGTGAAATTTAAAATAATTATTTCATATCCAGCCCAATGATAGATTTTTGGAGTTAGGAGACCCTAAATTGTTAAAAAAATAGTAATGTAAAGTTGACTCTGCAGGAAATGGCAAAAAGAGGCTGTGTATATTTGTCCAATGAAAAGTGTGTGAAAATAGCTGGCATGCTATAAGATTTAAAATGATTTTAGTAAGACATATTTATTCTCAAAATCTCACCAGGGGAACAAAACTATTTGGACTCAACACAAAGGTGATCTTGCTGATGAGATTTTTTCCAAAATGGATGTACTGCACTTTGTAAATTAGAGCAAGTAATATAATATAGTAATATTTTGTTTTCTCTGAAAATAAAAACCAGTATTTTTTTGTAATCTTGGCTCCTTTTTTAGTTTTTAGGGGCCCAAACTTAAGTGCTATAAATTATCAAATCCTGGAAAAACACCGGAAAAAAATAAAGCCTACTTTATGTTACAGACATTACGTTATGGACATTACTTTATGGACATAATTTTAGTTTACAGAAATTACATTATGGACATTATGACAGAATGACTCTAATTATTAATAGTAATTCTTTTGGAAGAAATAAATGCTTCATGAAAACCAATTGGTTCAAATTTATCACATATGAGTTTACAGTGCTTTTAACTAAACGCTAATAACTGTAATCACAACAACAACTGTACATTAAAAGTTGCAATACCATTGTGACATGAGGTCTATAAATTTTCAAAAAGTCTAAGTCCACTTGTGAAACAAGTTTACCAAAAGACATATCATGTTAATAGTCAGTGACTTCTTTTAAAATATCTGAAGATAACAAATTAAAAAATGTTTCAGAAATGTAGCTTAAAACAAGCAATACTTCAACTTTCAAAGGCCATTGCACTGATAATGATTGTTCTCATACTACAGAGAAAATGTCGATTCATACAGTTTAGTGCAGTTTAACTTTCTAAACTAGTGTCAACCGGCTTATTGAGATTCAGTGAATAGCACTCTGACAAGGAGTTCAGTACAATCCAAGTTTGGAAATTAAAGCAATTTTAATAACTACAAACTGCAATCTGCAGTTAGTTTGACTGGTTATTTGAAAAAATTTTCTTTTTGAAAATATTTAAACAGCCTCTCAATATATGAAATACATGGAACATTGAAAGGGCTAATGCTTTTTAGCTCTATGGAGCCATAGAAGACTTCTCTTTTGGACAATATCAATATTGCTCCTCAGTGGCCAGTTAAATATTTCCACAACTTGACAAAGAAATTTGATTTTAACCTCATTATCAGTAACACTAATTAAGGGCTCTTCCAATGTAAAACTTGGTCTCATACTAAAAATCTAATCTGCACTGTATCTTAGAAAGCAAGAACCAAAAGACAGCAGAAACACTAGTTAGAGCTTGCTCATTAAAACTGAATTGTAAGGAGCATGCTTTACATGTATATGGGATACTCCACATATCATAGTCACATGTACACACAAACTGTAGTATTGATGTTATGGATATCAGCACAATCAGAAAGAAGAGTTAACTTGTAATTGAGCCTGATTAAGAATACATTTATCAGTTCTGACAAAATCAATCATCAAAAGTTCATAAAAAAAACAAAAACATTCCCTTGTTCTTACTGGCATAAAATAGTTTCCCAGTGTAATGTCCCTAACAAAAATTGTGTAATGTCCATAACAGAAGGTTTTTACCTCAGCCTCAAAATCTAACTACAGAATAAGGGATATAACTAGGTTTTAAAGAGCTATGAAGCAGCTTTGTTCTTATTATTATGAAATGATTTTTGTGTGAATAGTCAATTCACAGGAAAATAAGTGTCAAGTGAACACATGAAATTGTAGGTTGATTTTTTTTTTGTAATGTCTGTAACAGAGTTACACACAAAAATATTGGCAGCCTCTGTTAGAAATCTGTAAATCTGATTTTAGATGCTTTATCCCCTGAATTCCACTCAACAAGTTCAACCAGTGAAAGTCCACAAAAAAAAGAATAAGGGAAAAAAAGTGAATGTAAGACAAAGATTATGGAGACAATGAAATTGGAAGGTGATAAGGAAGCTAAAACTTGTATAAAGTTATTACGGAAGTTGTTGTGAACAGTAATAACAATTATGTAATAATAATGTGGCATCGATCAATGAATTAATATAATTGTACACATTTCTACTTATTTCAACAAAACATCTGAAGAGAGGCTGTGAATGCTAATCTCTCTCTGCCTCTTTTACCCTCAGGTACTTCACCCCTCAATGTGGTACCCATCACTGGTCATGGAAAAGAACTAGAAAAGCCTTGGGGAAGGAAAGGTGAACAGGATACTGAGTTGGAACTTTTTTTTTTTTTTTTAAGTTAATGTAATTTAAACATGGTGCTCATTTTGTTCAGATATTAAGCCAAGTGGAAAGTTGTATTCTATTGTAAGCTATTGACTTTTGTGACCAATTAGAAGAGTAACTAGAACAGCTACAAGAAAATTGATGTTGGGTTCTGTACAGAAAGTGCGCTGAGGGATGCTTGTACAAAATGCATTCTTTGACAGGCATCTGTAGAGCAGGGATATTCTGTCAACAAAGAAATTGAAGTAGAGAACTTGCTAGTAAGAGCACTCTTTGGTATTTCAACATACCATTTGTGATTACGTAGAGGTAGTCGGTGGAGTTCTCAGGTTTGCAGAGAGAGATCATGAACTGAAGGCTCCAGTTTTAGATAAAACTACTTGGCGCATATGGGAGACTCCACAGACCACAATCACATGTACACACAAACTGTAGTATTAATGTTATGGATATCAGCACAACCAGAAAAGAGAATTAACTTGTAATTGAGCCTGATTAAGAATACATTTATCAGTTCAGACAAAATCAATTATCAAAAGTTCATAAAAAAGACAAAAACATTCCCCTTATTCTTACCAGCATAAAAAAAGTTTCCCAGTGTAAAGTCCCTAACAAAAATTGTATAATGTCCATAACAGCAAATTTTTACCTCAACCTCAAAATCTAACTACAGAATAAGGAATATAACTAGATTTTAAAGAGCTATGAAGCAGCTTGGTTCTTATTATTATGAAATGATTTTTGTGTGAATAGTCAATTCAAAGGAAAAAAAGTGTCAAGTGAACACATTAAATTGTAGGTTGATTTTTTTTTTTATTTCCGTAACAAAGTTTCACAGAAAAATATTGGCAGTCTCTGTTATAAATCTGTAAATCTGATTTTAGATGCTTTATCCTCTGAATTCCACTCCACAAGTTCAACCAGTGAAAGTCCACCAAAAAAGAACAATGGGAAAAAAGTGAACAGAAGACAAAGATTATGGAGACAGTGAAATTGGAAGGTGAAAAGTAAATTAAAAAAACTTGTATTAAGTTATTAAGGAAAGTTGATGTGAACAGTAATAACAATTATGTGATAATAATGTGGCATCGATCAATGAATTAATATAATTGTACACATTTCTCCTTATTTCAACAAAACATCTGAAGAGAGGCTGTGAATGCTAATCTCTCTCTGCCTCTTTTACCCCTAGGTACTTCACCCCTCACTGTAGTACCTACCACTGGTCATGGAAAAGAACTAGAAGAGCCTTGGGGAAGGAAAGGTGAACAGGATACTGAGTTGGAACTTTTTTTTTTTTTTAAGTTAATGTAATTTAAACATGGTGTTCATTGTGTTCAGATATGTACACACAAACTGTAGTATTAATGTTATGGATATCATCAGCACAACCAGAAAAGAGAATTAACTTGTAATTGAGCCTGAAGTTTCTTCTCTGCTGATACTCAATTACCCTGTGAGGAATGTTTAAACAAATTATAAATTCAAAACCATACATAATAAGTTTGTTGAGGAAATTAGTTTCCCAAAAATTGGTCCCTGATTGTAATGTCGGCAACATGGAATTGCCCTTAACAGTAATAACAATTTGTGTACTGGGTGCTATTCAATCAGAAGATTGCTGTGCAATTTGCTATGAAAGAACACTGGTGCAGACGCCCTCTAAAAATGAGGACCTGCCAGCAGATTATCATCCAATGTGCTTGAAGTTTAATGTGATATTAATGGTTCAAGTTGGTTTGAAGTACAATTTAAACTTCATTTCATCACATATTCCAGCCACATTGTCCAATCCCACTGAAAAAATTCACACTGAACTAAATGCACTGATAGGGAACTTTCCATGCAATTCTCCTGTGTTGCATGTCAACTCTATGTAAACAACCTGCATTTTATCATGTATTTCGCACACAGAGGGTAAAGTCCAGATAGGCAACAACCAATCAAGGAGCCCTCTTTGAAATATTATCCTTTTCCCTTGGTGGTTGTATCTTTACTTATTCGAGATTACAATATATCTTTGGTTAGGTTTTATTGGAGATACAACAGAGTTTCAGTTTGCTTTTTTGTAGTAAAATTAGGTGGAATTCTATTTTTGGAGCCACTAACTGTAACCAAATAAGTTTTATTCTCTCTCTGTTGAAGGAACAGTAGTAAGCATGGTCTCTTCTGCAACTGTTATTTGGTCAGGTCATGCAACAAGTTCTCTCACAGGAAATAGTGGGAGTTGTGTGACAAGACCAAACAACAGCTGCGAAGGAGACAAAAGCAAGTGTGGCACCAATGTATTTTATTTTTCTTAGAAGTATTTGGAAAATAGAGATAATAGACCATCCGTGGGTTTTTATTTTCTTTCTCTTAAAGTGAAGTAATGCAATATTTTTGTTCCTTTACAAGTTATAAATGCTCTTTTTCTGTTAATGAAAACATTAGGTACACAAGGTGTCCCACTTTGACCCACCCAGCCAAAAAAAATAACTCTTGCATGCTAGACATGCCTAAGTTTCACCCTAGCTATGAGTTCCATGTTTGATACTCTAATCTTTCAGATCAATCTGAATTATGATTCAACCATGGAATGAGATAAAGATGCAAATTAAAGAAACTGCAGCAATGTATTTACTGTGTGTTGTAATCTATTCATTTGTAACAAGCTCTCTGTTTGATTTTTGTTGCCTCAATATAATGCTCTCGCATTGTAATGGTTAAATAGGTAAGAGTTGAAAAACCTTCTTATATTAGGATTAAATTTGATTGTTACAATTTAACAGGTGGTGAAATGAATATTAAGGTTGATGTGGATGACATGAAACCTGAAGAACAGAATATGCAGACTGGCATGTTGGCAACAGAATCTGATAGATACCAAGAGGTTCAGCTGCCTAGGGCATCTGTTACATTAACTGCATCTGGAAGTGTGTCCTATTCACAGAAAGAACATCTCGAGGCCTTTGAAAAGGAAATCTTTCTGTCAATTGCTGGAAATTATCTCCAGACCACACCACCACAGTCCCCTGAAGAGCGCAATAGGTTTAAGGAATACATGAAAGAAATGAGGCTCATCATTACTGGTGTCTCTGTAGGAAGTTTGGTGATAACAGTGAAGTGTGAATCTCTAATGATCTTGGAGGACTTGTGGACAGATTACTTATCTGGTCATCTTGGTGAAGTGGTTCAGAATTGTTTTGTTACTGAAAAGATCTTAAAGGAACTGAACCTGGCTGAGCTGAGGCTGAAGACAACAATGGACATAGAAGAGTACAATGCATGCAAAATGTTCTTTGAGAAAGATGCACTCAGAGGTTGGTAGAAAGAATGTAACAAGGCCTGGTCCTATCATAAAGTATTTGTCAAGGGTTTTGAATGAAATCCATCAGTCTTTCAACATGGAGTATAGCAGGGTAACTTGTCATGAAGGGATGGGTCCAGTTTTTTATCATGATTGATCAAACTTGTCTCATGAATGAACTCTTGCTGATTACAGTATGTAAACCATGCTGATGCAAGAAGTAATTTTTTTTGAAGACACTTCACTTGAGGTTTTGTTCTTCTTAAACATCTCTCCCCAGTAACCTGTTATCTTTTCTGTTAAGACATGTAGCTCAATATTTTCTTTATAGAGTTGTATTTGTCTTTCTGTAATTTATTAGATTACATTATTTATTATATTAAAAGATTAATCAAAGATTAATTGGCAAGCTTTTTGTTGGAGGGGCTGTGAAAGAAAATTTTATTAGATTTGCATGTTGGGTGTTTTTAAAAATAGTTTGAGGTATGTTTATGGTTTAAAATGTTTGTCCTCTTGTAAATCTGGTTTTTAGATGCTTTATCCTCTGAATTCCACTCCACAAGTTCAACCAGTGAAAGTCCACAAAAAAAAGAACAATGGGAAAAAAGTGAACAGAAGACAAAGATTATGGAGACAGTGAAATTGGAAGGTGAAAAGGAAATTTAAAAAACTTGTATTAAGTTATTAAAGGAAAGTTGATGTGAACAGTACAAACAATTATGTGATAATAATGTGGTATCAATAAATTAATATAATTGTACACAATTTCTCCTTATTTCAACAAAACATCTGAAGAGAGGCTGTGAATGCTAATCTCTCTCTGCCTCTTTTACCTTCAGGTACTTCACCCCTCACTGTAGTACCCACCACTGGTCATGGAAAAGAACTAGAAGAGCCTTGGGGAAGGAAAGGTGAACAGGATATTGAGTTTGAACTTTTTTTTTTTTTAGTTAATGTAATTTAAACATGGTGCTCATTGTGTTCAGATATTAAGCCAAGTGGAAAGTTGTATTCTATTGTAAGCTATTGACTTTTCTGACCAATTATCAAATTGATAAGCCAATGGTTTGTTTCTTGGCCACTGACCTCAGTACTGTTCTATGAGACCGTATGAGAAGATTTATATGATCTGCTGTGTGAAAAAAATAAAATTGAGAAGCTAATGTTAATGGATGTGGAGGAGAAGAGTAACTAGAACTCCCCGCTCTACATATGCCTGACCATGTGACTAGGTCAAAGAATGCATTTTGTACGAGCATCCCTGGGCGCACTTTCTGTGCAGAACGTGCGCCTAGGATGCACGTACAAAATGCATTCTTTGACCTAGTCACATGGTCAGGCATCTGTAGAGCGGGGATATTCTGTCAACAAAGAAATTGAAGTAGAGAACTTGCTAGAGCACTCTTTGGTAGCGTAACGTACCATTTGTGATGATTACGTAGAGGTAGTTGGTGTAGTTCTCAGGTTTGCAGAGAGAGATCATGGACCGAAGGCTCCAGTTTAGATAAAATCACTTGTCGCAGTGATAACTACTTATGTGACGAACGTTTGAAGAATCATTGAAGCGCTATGATATTTAATTGATACAAAGTATGACCAAAAAAATTTTCATATTAGATGAAGCCAATGATTCCAGTTCCTGTGTGGGAGATGAGCCCTCCAGACGCAATTAATACATAGATGTCAAAGGTGTCACGGTAGCATCCCTGTTGTTAATGTCAAATTTATGGCAAGGCACGAATGTTTAATATGTTTGTTTGTAGCCGTTCCTTCCTCTTCATTTTCCACCACTAATCCTGGAGAAGAAGCTGTAGTCTCTCAGCCCCACTTACTAAGGTCCACCACTGGAGGTTGGCAAAAACAAGGAGAGATTAAGAGATGGGAGCAGAATATAGAGACTGCGCAGCCAGAGAAATTTGAAGGTGAATCACCAAATAAATAACTTGTTCATTGACAAAGTAAACCCAAAAGTACAAATATATCTTCTGGTTTCCATGGAAACTGTTTACTTTTGGCGGTGAAAAGTTGATTTGAACAGTGATTGTATATATCTGTCAGGGATCAAGAAGAAACTGTCGCAGTTCAATGATAGACGAGAAGAAGCTGTAGCCTCTCAGATTGCGTTACAATTTTAAATTACGTAGTCATGTTCCGTCACACAATTCATCGTCTACCGTCTAAAGTCCATCGTCTATCGTCTGTCGTCTGTCGTCTGTCGTCTGTCGTCTGTCGTCTGTCGTCTGTCGTCTGTCGTCTGTCGTCTGTCGTCTGTCGTCTGTCGTCTGTCGTCTACCGTCTATCGTCTGTGTTTTAGTACATGCCGACTTTACTGGTATCGGACAAATTGACTGTTTGTGGTTTAAATACGTCCACTCTAATTCTTTTCAAGCTTGGTAAACTAGGTGGTAGAATGTCCAGACTAGATTTCGAACGTTATTTGTAGCGTAACTTTGGTTTTATAGGAAACGTGAAAAAAGAAAATATCCGCATAATTTACAGATGTTGAAAATGGTGTTGGAAGGATGGATAGCGCTATCCACTCAGCATCCGGTGCGAAGTGAATTCTAGGCCAGATAACTTCATATCGGTTCCAAACTTTTCTTTAGTATCTTGATATACTTCTTTGTGTTTTTTGACGTGGGGTGAATGTTTTGTATTTCAGGAAAAATGGCCTCAGCACTGGCCCCATCGTTTCGTTCATCAAAAGAGACAACCAATTACGCCCGCTTATGCAGGCTTCTGGTGAATGTCAGTGCACATATCTTGAGAGAGACTTTTGATAGGAGGCGTCCAACAGGAGACCTGCACACATTTTTGTCAAGTCGTCCAGTTCATGCAGTCTTACAATCACTTCGAAAGAAAAGAATTCTTAGTCCTTTACAATGGGGAAAACTATATCCTGCCATCAAATCTGCAGTTTCATCAAAGAATTTCGATATCACTCTATTGATGGTTTTGCTGAGGAATATATGCGGTCTTGTTCGTCCGGCTACCGGCTGGGATACACTTCCTCCTGAAACAGACGCAACTCTTGAAGCTGATATCGTTCGCATCAAGTGCTACAGAAACACAGTTTATGGTCATGCCAGTCAGGCCTCAGTTGATGACCCATTATTCAATCAATACTGGCAGGACATCCAAGATGCATTGGTGAGACTGGGAGGAGCTGGTTACCAAAGTGCTATTGATGATCTGAAAAAGGAATGCATGGACCCTGATTTCGAAGAACACTACAAAGAGCTTCTTAAACAGTGGGTAGTAGATGAAGTCAGCATCAAAGAAAGACTGGATGAAACGACAGAGCACTTTAAGGAATCAAAGGAAGCAATCGCTGATCCTACAAAGAAATTTAAAGCAGGAGAAAAAGGTATTGTGTATTAACGGTAAAATCTGTGCAACGGCCTTTTGATCTTTCATGAGAAAAGAAACTTGAAGAGGAAGATTGAAGGGCCTCTCATCAGAGGGTAATAAGCAATTTAACAATCAGTTCATTTCAGTATTATAAAATGCCTACCTTTAAAAATAGCTCAAACTCGGAGAAATATCTTCCACTGGAACTGACCCCTTCCTATTGGACCCAAGATTGGAAAAAGGCCAGATGTTGTCTTTTCCATGCTTTTTTCGAGTTACTTCTTTATTTTCATTTTTTCCTCCTGATGCGGGGAGTAAAGAGAATTCATAGTTGAAATAGATTCCCTACAAAAGGTTATTTGCACCAAAAACTGCAGTAAGTCTTACAGTATTTACCTGGTCGGGTCGCCGAAAGAAAAAAAAATGGAAAAAAGCTAAAATTCCCCATGAACTGGAGACGACTGAACGTATTCTCTCCCCTCAGTGTACTTATGCCCAACTTAATCTCTAGAGTAAAAAAAAAAACAAATATGTCTTTTCTGAGTCAAAGTTAGTTCCTCCCGTACCACAAATTCCTGGATCCGAAATGGGTCGGTTGATGCTGATGATCATATTATTTCGAGTACAATTTAGGATAAAACAGCACGAATAAGTTTTTCAAATACAAACAAATTGCACGAGCCTGTAAGGCGAGTGCTATTTGTAGTTTTTGAAAAATTTATAAATGCTCGTTTATCCCCGAATTGCATGAGGAAAATCATGCGATTACCTGTTAATATTATACTAGCAAAAATGTGACTGTTTTCCTCGATCTTTAGTTGTTTGTTCTCCGTGTCATGGCTCATTGGTTCGGCCGCTTGCCTTTGCCTTGTACTGGAGTAGTTGGGGTTTTCCCCAAGAATTTGGTTCGAGCTTTTAAACCGTTACGAAAAATTGGGTTTTTGTACTCTTTGTCTATTAGGTATCGGTCGACAGCAATAATCAGTTCACGAAAGATATCACGCTCGTTATCTTCACCGTCTCTCTTACGAACTATTGCGTAAAACTCCTCGAGAGGTGTTTTAAGGCCTGCGATTCATATTTTTCAATGCCTAAAACTTCCAGACTTTTGGCCAGTTGTTTGTGCTTTGTTTTGTATTTTTATTTTTGGCATTCTCTATCAAACTCTGAATTAAAAAGGTTGTTACCTTCTCCTAACCTCTCCGCCATTTTGTTTTGTTGCGCTTTTGTGACTCTCCTAACTATCAAATTATTTTCATCTATCTACACTTAATTTCAACTTTTTCCCCTAAATCTCAACTTTGTGCACTGTTTGGGATTAATTGACTTGTTCTCAGCCAATGAGCGTTCTGAAATGTTTGCATGCATATTATTAAAAATGAAATAATTTAACCTTTACACCAACCTCTTGCTACGCATTTCTTATTACTCGGTCAGAATTTGATGTCAATTAATTGCGAACGGAGTCAAGATTAACTTGCACTTTTTGGAAAGCCTAATTAAAGCAAAACTCAGCTAGCGTGATAACTAATCGCGTTGCAAGTCAGGCAGTTCAATGGCTTTTCGTCGAGTATTGGTAAAGTTAATACATGAAGGGTTTATGAAAATAAATGCAGGTAACGGTTTTCTTTTCAGCTGTAGCGGAATACTCTGATGCATTGAAAGAATCA